CATGTGTGTTGCATGTGCGTTGCATTGGCAGGCCCATACAAATCACACCCGTGAAGTGGGGAAGTAGAAGACAGCGTGGCAGGCGCAAGAGTTGTAGGTGGCAGGGGCGAAGCTGAGCGCCTTGGATATTACATTGTGGTGGTCGCCCGTAGCATCCACCTTTGTGGGGTTGTCGCGTATTATATAGAATAAGCTTTGACAACAATCTTGGGTAAATTTCACAAGCTGATGGTTAGCCCTCAGCATCCACCTTTATTGGGCTGTCACAGATTACAGAAGGGCATGCTTTGACAATACGTAGCTTTCAGAAGCTGATGTTGTCGCATCGATGTGTGTGTATGTGTGCTGATCTACATCCACATGCAAATCAACAACAGTTAAAATGAACTCGGAACCAAAAAAAACCTCACCGGGTTCTTCAAAAAAAACAGCCATCCACAGGAAACCACAGAGATACCCTGCTTACCCCCGCAACCCCCAACTTCAATGTTGTGATCGGAAGTGCCGAGCATCATCAACAGAGATGGCTGTTTTTTTTGAAGGCCGCCAAACACAAAATTCAGAAGACAACATTGAATTGGGGGACGGGGGGGGCATGACCTCTGTGGTGTGGTACTTCATGGGATGGCTGTTTTTTTTGAAGAACCCGGTATTAATAACCACATATATAATGAGCATTAATGGTTTTATATCATAGCTCATTAATGTTCATTATATAACCACTATTACAGTCATAAACCCATGAAATTCCCATGACCCATGACTGGTCCATGGGTAGCCAATCAGAGGCCCCCACTGAGTGCCCCCACACGTCCGGGCAGGAGTTTCTCCATCAAAGGGTTGGCTCCATTGGCTCCATTGGTGCCATCATAGAGCTCCATCAGCCTACCAAAAACGTGGAAAGATGCGGATCTGGTATAGCTCAGTTGCAGTTTGTTCTTCACTTTCAAATAAAGGTGCCGGTGCCGGTGACGATGATTATTATTATTGTGATTATCACAATCACAATGATAGTAACATTATTATGATGGAATCACCAATAATCACCAATAATCACCAATAATTGATGATTAATATTACTATCATTGTGATTGTGATTATTGGTGATTATTGGTGATTCCATCACAAATCACAATGATTTCCCTGATATCTCCTGACTGAAAAATCCTCCCCATCCCACCCCATCCACCACCCCATGAATTTCGGCGCACCTGTGGAGCTGTAAGTCACTGCAGTCCTCCAAGCTTTTCATCGCCGCGTCCAAAAGATCTTCGTAGTTCCCCACCACCCACGCCTGGCAGATGTCAAGGATAGCCCCAAATTTGGAAACGAAGCAACTGACTGAGCTGATGGGTAATAAGTTAAAGATGCGATTAGATATCTTTAATAATGTGGATAATTCTGATGGGTACTTTATACAATAAGGTTAAAGACACAAATTCAGCCTGAAATCTGAAATTGGATACGACTTCAACTCGAGCGAAGAATAGATTTGCAAGGAATGATGGATACTAGCTGCTCTAGTTGGGACGCAAAACAAGCAAAGTCAGCAAAGTGGCTGGTGGATTCGCCACCTACCCCAATGAGATCGGAGATTCATGTGACGCACATATCGAATTCTATCGAATTCCTTGGGTGATATCCCCATGACCAATGTGACCAACCATGGAGAAGCATCGAACTCACTGAATGGAGGATCCAGGCCGCCGTCCTTGTCCACAAACAGCAAGTCTCCTATTGCCACGTCACGCCTCACCTGAGTGCGAGGACAGGTGAACCCCCAAAAGTATTGAAGATATTGTACTCCATACCATGCAAAAAAAGATAGGAAAGGTCAGATTTATTGTGATATATTTCTATGAATTGGATTTTTGATGGTTTTTGCCAACTTCTAAATCGTTTTGGGGGTTTACCACATTAGTCAATTTGGGCTGATCGTTTCAAGTAGGGATAGTCCTAGGGTTCCTGTCAAGCACCGCGCCGCTGCTGTCTGTCGCCCCAGGGATGAGGCTTGAGGCTAAACAGTGGGACGCCATGAATCTTGACTTTTGATATGCTACCCTCAGGTAGTCAAACTTGGTAATGACAAATCCGGTATAAATGGAGGTTTAGTAACAGTAAGAAAGTCATCTATGTTTGCGGGGATTGTCCATTGCCATGTTTGATTTCCGGAGGGTATCTTTGTTCTCCAAGGCCCCCAAAACCGCAAAAACGTGTTGGTGGTCAAAGGCTACTTCAGAATAATGTCGAGCCATTGGATTTTACCCTGCCAAATCCCAAAAAGGAATCAGAAAACATACAGTATACCATCCGAAACCAAAACCAAGAAACTTGTAGTTTGTAATGTTGTACAGAGACAAAGAGTAGGCCAACATAACCCTGCGAAAGCCAAAGAATTCTTTGACCAAGTTATCAAAGCCATCTTCGACAACCAACATGAGTCACCCAAACAATCAGAAATATGAGTCACTCCACCGGTGAAAAAAACCCTGGGTTCATCCCATTAAAAATCCTGCCATTTTGTGTTTTAACTAAACCCATTCATCTGGAGAATATCCTATCATTCCCATAGCTGGGTAATAACTTTCATGTAAAAAAAAAACACGGATCCAATTCCGTACGAATGTACATCCAAGTCATAGTACTATGAGGATCTGTGGAACCATACAGTATAGTACTATAATGTACTATATATATATATAGTATAATATACTTAATTTTATAATATACTTAGTTTAAGTGGTTAGTTGGTTAGTTATAACTTATAACTAATAGTCAAATGGTCTAATGGTATACATGTGTACTAATAATACTAATAGCTATATAACAGTGATAACGCAATGATTGATCAACACGCAGACAAATAGTTCCTGCTAGTGGCTGGCCTGACACAGAGTCAGACTAATTAGTCAACTAAGAGTTCTGACGACTGTAGTTCTGACCAACTGATAGTGGAACTGGCTAATAGATCTAATAGTTCTAACTAATCAGTCAACTCAGTGTCTAGGGTCCAAAGTCATCTATAAGCGCTCTCCCAAACGTGGCAACATCGTGTACAACATCTACTGGACCGAAGTGCCAAAAATGGGGAAAGGGACCCATTATTGTATGATGTTCATCTCATCTCTTTAATATTAAACACCCCCATCTGGTTGGTGGTATACCTACCCTTCTGAAAAATATGGCTTCGTCAGTTGGGATGATTATTCCATTCCCAACTGTTTCTGGAAAGCCATAATCCAGCCATGTTCCAGTCACCACCAACCAGCCATGGTACCCTCTGGTAAACTAACGTAACTATGGAAAATCACCATGCTATTCATGGGAAAACTCACTATTTCTATGGCCATTTTCAATAGCTTTTTGTTAGTCACAACCAGAGGGTATAGTGATTATTAACCATCATTAACCATCATTAACCATCATTAACCATCATTAACCATAGATTAACCATCATTACCCCATGGTATGATCCAAAAATCATGTGGAACTTCCCTACATCCACCAGCCATGGTCCCCTACCTGGGCAACCCCGACCGCCAGGCCCCGGCCGAAGCGGCCCATGACGGCGGTCACCGGCTCGCTATAGGCTGGCGGCGGAAAGCAGGGGCGTTTTTTTTTGGGGGGGGACCAGAGATATGGAGATGTTGAAAGAAATTCATAATGATTTATAATGATTTATAATGATTTATAATGGTTTATAATGATTTATAATGAACTTATATGTGAATTATATGTATGACATGTCTGGATTTTGGGATGAAGGTTTGATTTTGATCCGTTTCCAATTGTTGTTCATAGCAAAACAACTAGAGTGCGGTAAAAAGAGAAGTATGTAAGCTGAAACTGCAATCGATTTGGTTCATGCTGGCTTCTTTTGTGCACGAATCAAATAGCCTCTCCAATTCAGCCAGTTTCTCTTAGGATTCTTACCCCACATTTTCGCGTTCGGTGTGAAAAACAAAGACATAGACTTCAAACTGATCATTTCATGCCAGAAAGAACCTACCTATACCATCTGGTTATTTAACATTTCGCCATGGAAAATCCACCCATTGCCATGCTATTAAGTTCGGTAAACCATCTATTTCGATTAGGGCCATCGTAACTACCATGGCTGGCCCTGTTAGTCATAACCAGGCCGGGTATAGATGATTCTCATTGATTTTCCCATATTTTCCCATATTAACCATCTATAAATGGGCCATGGCTTCCATGGCTATGTTAGTCTCATGGCTATCAAATGGGGAACATGGTGATCAACAGGCTGGGATCAAAGCCCATGTGTTTCCCCTGGCTTTTCTCCTGTGAAAAAACCAGAAACTCGGCCGGGTTGGCCAATGGAGGCCATGTCTTTAGATCATGGCTATCTAGACCCTCCAAGTAGCCATAAAAATTGGCAAAAGAATGCAAAAGATGGAAAGTATTGGAAAGGACTAAAATGATCTACAATCATTATGGGGTAAAATCAACATACGATGTTCTATGGCTACTTGGAGAGTCTACAGCTACATGGATATTTAGCCCCTAATCCTAGGCGCATCGGTCGGCCTGTAAGTGGCAGGTGCACAAAGGTTTTGGGCGAACCCAACAAGGCATCAGGGTCAGCCTTTCAGGGACGGGTTGAAACAAGGAATCCAACAAGGCCCAACTTCATGTGAATCCACACATCAAGGTCAACATTTTGATGGTTAACATTCCTGTATGAAAATCAATTGATTCATTTGAACAAACCACTAAAACAAAGAATGCCTAACATTCATACAACTCCACCTTTCAGGCATTCTTCATTTGGGGTGCGAACATGACATATCATGATGGGAAGGATGTTGCTGTGTCCGAATGCGAAACAACTCGTTGCGAACGTTGCGGACCCTGAAGATTTCGGCCCACTCGTACTTTCCCGAGAGCTGCTCCTGATCGGACGATTGGAAGCCACATCGACTTTTTTTTGACATCAAGTTCTTTAGCCCAACTTGATAGACCCAGAATTTCACCCACCCACGAAATCATCCACTTGCACGCTGTATTTCAATGATGTTTGTTCCGATTCTAAACAAAGCATCCTGGACTCCGAATGTCAAACATACTCAGTTTCCCTAGCAACTCCAAAACAATTGGGTCTATTTTCTTCAATGATTATATAACGCCAAAAAAACAGAACAGGTTGGATATACCATGATTTACCAGTATTTTGGGATTGAAATTTACCAATTTCATCCAATTTCTATCTTTGTGAAAAAAGTACTAAATAGGGGCCACATTTTGCCACTTTGCTGGAAGTACGGTATCTCTTCTGTTTCGCAGTTGATCGTATGTTGTTCGAACCTATGCCATAGACCTTTACTGACATAAGGTTCCTTCATATGAATATCATGGCAACAGTGACACGCAGAAGGTTACACACATTGCAAACCACTTAAGTCAGAATACTTGCTTGAGGACTTTATCGTTCCTTCCTTAGGATATGTAATGGCAAGGGTAATTGTCCTTTTCCTTTCTCCTTTTTCCCCAACAGCGTTAGCTTGGGGTCTTCAGCCAAAGTAAAGGTCTCAGAGCAGGTCGGAGCAGCCAAAAGCCGGATTCCCAAAGTTCCCAGGTTCCCACGATAGGGTTAACAGTTAACAAGCATCGTTCCCAAGCAAGGTTCCCAAGCAGGGTTCCCAAAGGTTCCAAAGAACACGTTCCCCAAAAATTCCAAGGGTTTCCAAGAACAGGTTCCCACGCAGGGTTCCCAAGAGCAGGTTCCCAAGCAAGGTTCCCAAAGGTTCCAAAGAACAGGTTCCCAAGCCAGGTTCCCAAGAGCAGATTCCCAAGCAAGGTTCCCAAGCGAGGTTTCAGTAAAAAGTCCCCAAAAAGGTGTCCAAGAACAGGTCCCCAAGCAAGGCTCCCAAGAGCAGGTTCCCAAGCAAGGGTCCCAGGCACAGGTTCCCAAGCAAAGTTCCCAAGAACAAATCTCTAAGCAAGGTTTTCTTTTCAGGAACAGGTTCCCAAGCAAGGTTACCAAGCAAGGGTTCCCAAGCAAGGTTACCAAGACAAGGTTCCCAAGCCAGGTTCCCAAGAACAGGTTGCTAAGCAAGGGTTCCAAAAACAGGTTTTCAAGCAAGGTTGCCAAGAACAGGTTCCTAAGCAAGGTTCTAAGCAAGGTCTCCAAGAACAGGTTTCCAAGAAAGGTTTCCAAGCAAGGTTTTTGGAATAGGTTCTCAAGGACAGGTTTCCAAGAACAGGTTCCCCGTTTCCAGGAACAGGTTCCCAAGCGAGGTTACCAAGCAAGGGTTCCCAAGCAAAGCTCCCAGGAACAGATTTGCAAGCACGGTGTCCAGGCACATGTTTTCAAGCAAAGTTCTCCAGATCAAATCTCTAAGCAATATTTTCAGGAACAGATTCCCAAGCAAGGTTACCAAGCAAGGTTTCCCAAACAAGGTTACCAAGAAAAGGTTCCCAAGCAAGGGTTCCAAGAACAGGTGTCCAAGCAAGGTTGCCAAGAACAGGTTGTCAAGCAAGGTTTCCAAGAACAGGTTCCCAAGCAAGGGTTCCAGGAACAGGTTCGTGAAATAATTAGGTTCCCGAGCAAGGGTTCCAAGAACAAGTTTTGCAAGCAAGGTGTCGAGGGACAGGTTTCCAAGCAAAGTTTATTTTGTTATTTTGTTCCAGCGATGACATGCCCACTATTCAAGCTTTGTGTGGGGCACTGCGGTGTGTTCAAACGCGCATTTGAAAACTGAGACAAAGAGAGCTGCAAATTAATAACTTCACTGCCGAACCGACAGGATACACAATCATAAGGCTTACCTCAGCCAGCTCTCAAACATGATTGCGACAAACATTTGGTGACTTTTTCCCTTAGTCGTTGCTGTTGGGGATATTCTTTGGGCTTATTCTTCTTAAGGTGATTCCCAGAGATCTCCAGAGATTCCTGGAGATCGCGAGATCGGAAAGGGAAGGAGCAAACATATTGAAAGAAATGTAATACATAGCTCCTGGAGGCGGGGGGTGGCGTAAAAAAAAACATGCCCCCCCCCTCCCACCTTCCCTCCAAAGCTCCACAATTCTCAAAATCCTCATTTGGAGCCTTCGGGAGCCGTAAAAAATCTTCGTTTTGGAGCCTCCCCAAAACTGGAAAAAACCTCTATTTGGAGGTTCCCGAAAGTTCAAACTCTTCATTTGGAACTTTTCGGAGCTGGAAAAATCCTCATTTGGATTCTTCCATAGCTTCAAACTCTTTATTTGAAAGTACTGGTATTCGGTGCTTCGAATCTTCAATTAAACAAATGCAGCTTCAATATCTTTATCATGAGTCTTTTGTAGCTTCTGAACTTACGCTCATTACTTCATCAGATTACGGACTCCTCTCCTGCAACAAGCTTTCTCAACAAGCTTTATTTCTTTATATAATTTGAATAAAAAATCATGTTATCTTTGGTTGGTAGCCTGTCAACTAATCTGATGTCATTTTGATGAAGCAACCTGTTAGATCATTTGGCTTCATCATCGTCGTGG